ATAAAGAAAACTACACTTGGATTTGGACCTAAGTTAGCAACATTCTGGCCTGGTTCCCCTACCCATAAACAGTATGCACAACACAACAGACTGCATGGTGATGGTCAGATAGACAGCTCTAGTACCACTTCTATCACCACCGTGTGTGCAGCCAATGGGAAATACCCCAAATTGTAAAGTTTGGTTTGTGAAATGAGCTATAAAAATAATAAAAAATACACACTGTACAAAATGCAATATAAAGTGAATTCTATACTTGAACCTTAAACCATAACCACAATTAATAACAGCTATGTATGCATCAAAATGTTTTAACTTATTTTAACAGTATTTAAACTATATACATGTGTTTTTTGTCATAGCATTTGTCTCACATGCACAGTTTTTCAGAGCAGAGAGAAGAACCTATGGGGCTAAAGTGGAACCACAGCACCATCTTGTGGCTGCTTTATAAAGTCACAAACTTTTGGCCTGGAACGTCAGTGAACAGCAGCCAACAAGAAAAAAAAAAACGCTGGGGAAGAGTTTGAAGCCAAAATGATTAAGGAGATTCTTACTGAAAATAAAGGATTATTTCCAGCCTCCTTTTTCATCATTCTAAGTGGATTAGGTATGGCGCTTAGAATGGATTTATGTCACACTTTCCAGTAAGTGCCAGCAAAGCAATTTCAAGTCTGTGTGCTCAAGTGGTAGCGGTCGTCAGGGCTGGGTATCCTTTGGAGTTTACCGATACGATACGTACCTGGATAGACCTACATAGACCACGGTGGGATACAGAACTAGATACAGGGCACTTTCAATTTAATACGAATGGATATAGCATATTATTTTCAATGGAATCATACGTATCAATTAATAATAATAATAATAATAATAATAATAATAATATAAGTATTTTTTCTACTTTGCTAATCTAAATGGTGTTTTTATCTTTCATTAATTGAAAACTGTTAAAAAATCTTCTCAGCCACATACTTCTATTATCAAAAAATATCAATATCTCAAAATACCAGACATTAAAATATAAAAAGAATATGACTTTCGGAATATTAAAATTACTGAATGAATGTATTATGTGACACACCTTCTCATTCAAAGTTTTTGTATATTAATGATAATGAAAGTTGTATATTCACTGAAGGTATTAAAACTATGTATTAACTCATGTGGAATTATGTACGTCCTTAAGAAATAAAGTATGAAACAACTGAAAATATGTCTTATATGTCTGGGTTCTTCAAAGTAGCACCTTTTGCTCTGACACTGTTTCACTCACTCAAGCTTCAAGAGGACCTGAAATGGTCTGAGTGCCCACCGATGCTTAGCACTTGTTGGCCCCTTCACTCTGTGGTCCAGCTCACCCCAAAACCATCTGGACTGGGTTCAGGTCCGGTGACTGTGGAGGTCATCTGGCCCAGCACCATCACTCTCCTTATTGGTCAAACAACCTTTAAACAGCCTGGGTGTGAATCTACAGTCAATAGTCATGAAAAGAAAGGAAAATCTTTGAATGAGAAAGTGTGTCCAATCTTTTGGTCTGTACTGTATATAAATATGAACCTTGTAGTACCCCTAGTTAAGTAATTAGTATAGAAGTAGTACAGTCCATAGTTTAAGGGGTCTCTATCACACTTTATCACCCGACTAGCACCAATGCTCTACAGTAATTCTCCTGCTGATCATTGCTACACTACAACAAGAAAAACTACAAAAATATAACAAGTAAAGTTTCCTAGAATTCCCATGTTCTCCAGTAGAATTCGCAGCAGAAAAGTGTAAGCCCGGCGTGTGGATGAGTGAGATGGATTCCTCTGGCGTCGCTGGTTATTTGTGTTGAGCTGCTACCCACAATTCCCCAGCTGCAGCTTATTGTAGAGATATACTCCTGGCATCAAGGCACTGGACTTTGTAATAATTCATGGTTCAAAAAGCGCGGCGTGTACTCACTCTGCAATATTTATACCCCTCTGAATGTATTTCGCTGCTCCATCACTGCACAGGCCCACGGCCAGGATTACCTTCATCCGAGGTGAGTTTGACTTTCAGAAGTCTGTAATCCCGGATATTAATCCATAAAATCATTTTGTGATATTGCCTTTTGCCAACAGTACATTAGTGTTTTGAATCTGTTTTTTAATGAGGTCTATAGTTTAATAGTAACAACAGACTTGGTTCAAAAGGCCAGAGAATGGAACAGAAAAAGTGGTATAGGAGTGATACAGTTGCAGACTAGAACTGGTCATACACTATGGGATTTTTTCCTTATATTTTATTTTTTTCTGCATGATAATCATTTAAAATTAACAAATACATGTCCTCTGTGCATGTAATTCAGTTGTCACTTTGGCTGGTAATTAGTTATGTTTGCCCCTCAGTAATGTAAGTATTTTTCTAGCTCTTATAAGCAACTGTTATATAAAATGAGTTGTAATAATATGTACACACATGTATATAATGTATCCATTATATAAATTCGTTTTATGGTTTACGCTTGAGCTAGAAAGCAAAAAATGCTGAATGGTAGACTCAGCAAAATATTATTAGAGTACATCAAATTAAATATTAAAAATACTGTGCAAAGTAGGTGTGTTACTGCATTTTACCCTATAATAGATCCATCATTTTAACCAACGATCTATGATTTTAACCAACGATCTATGATGATAGCACATTTCATACACCTCCAGGAGTGACGCATGTGCCTTTCCCTTGTGAAACGTAAAATGGGTAATGTAGTCTCTGCTCTCGGTGAGACAAAGTAGGAAGCGTTCCGGCCCACTTAAACCACTGGTTATATAACCAATTACTTCTGGGGAAAAGTCAGGCGTCAGTAGTTTTACTTTTTGAAGTTAACTTGCCTAAAAGTGCTTACAACAGCACAAAAGAACCTCTCACCAATAATCTGTAAAAAAAATAAGTAAAAATGTGCTCAACTTTGGTAAAATGTCTTGAACTTAATTGACTCTGACGCTGACACTGTAAATGCACTGAGTGGAGAAGTTGTGCACAGTTTGTCGTGAAGTAATAAATATGTGATTTATTATTGACAATGTTTTGCCTTGTTTTTTTACTGCGTTCGGTCTCACTTGTCTGTTCCCATTCCAGTCTCCAGATTCCAAACTCTGCACAAGTCATGAATGAGTAAAATGTCTTTGTAACTGAAGAGATTTGCGTCACACTGAATATTTAAATTAGTTCAACTGACGTCTATCCGAGTCGTTCTCCGTGTCGAACTCTATTTTGGGCTGCTGACGTCACACAATGCATAAATAAAGGCTATTTGAGGTCTTGTCAAATTAGCAGCGAACCTCCAGCGTATTCCTCTTCATTTCCCAAAACGATCTTAAACACGGGAACTTTTAATGCAAGGCGACATCCGAGAGAGTTATTATATTTCATGAGTCATAACTTTACTTTTTGCTTTCACTCTTTGGCTGAGCTCTGCATAATGAGTGAGGGGAACATGTTGGGTGCATGATACAATAAGTAAGTTAAAATTCTGTTGATAATAAACAGAAAATTGTATTTAAAAAAATTAAAGATAATGAACGTGCAAGGCTATTGTTTATTTTTTTCTTTTTTTTTTCTTTAATGCATATTGAAGAGTTCATGTGCAAAAACAGACATTTCCATTTTGAAATGTTGTCCAAAGGTTTCAATATTCAACATGTGTTATGGAAGTAGACTTGAAGGAATTTGCTCAAGAAGTAAGTAAGTAAGTAGTAAGTAAGTAATGTTTATTTATAGCGCATTTTACAGACCAAGGTACAGACCCAAAGCGCTTTACAATGTTCAGATATTGTTCCAATCCTTCCACACACGGTGATGACAGAAGCGAGTCCAGAACACACTGGACCATCAGCTCCAACACCATCCATTCACTCTCTCATTTACATTCAGACATGTTTTTAGTGGTAGGGGAAACCGGAGCACCCGGGGGAAACCTACGCAAACACGGGGAGAACATGAAAACTCCACTCAGAAAGGCCCTGTTCCGACCGGGATTCGAACCCAGGACCTTCTTGCTGAGAAGCGAGAGTGCTAGCCTTTCACTAAACTGCTTTTCCGATATATTTCCACGGCACTTATATGTGTATTTAGTTTTTATGCAAAAACCGATATGTTGATATTTATTAGGTTTTATTATGTTGTTATGTTTTGCTGGTTGCATTGGAAAATCTTTGTTAATATTTATAAACTTCTTTCACACAGAGTTAAAATTACTTTGATTCTTGTAGCTATACTTATCTACCATTTGAAGAAGATTATAGTGTTATTTAAGATTCTATTTTTAGTCGCACTCTTCCTCCAGCTCATCTGGGGGAATCCTGAGGCGTTCCGAGGCCTGACCCTCACCCAGCCGATGGAGATAGTGAGAAGAGGAGATTGATCATGTGTCCTGGGTCTTCCCCTGAGTCTCCTTCCAGCGGCTCTACTCAAAGCTCCTCCCATGTTTTGTATGAACTATGGTTTATAAATGACATGTGGTGGATTGAAGTGATACATTGAAGTGATACATAGTCATTTCAAGATTACTAAGGTAACCACAAAAAAAGTAAGTATATCATAAAATCAGTTTTGTTCCAACACTAGTTTTGATTAATGCGTTTTTTGGCCTCTGGTACATCTTGGCTTCACTTTTTTTTCTGACAGAAACGTGAAAAGCAGAGGGCCACCATTACTTAGCGTCTTAGCCAATCACCTCTCAGCCCTATAAGCGTCAAATAGAGACAGACTCATTGGGCTCGCTCTAACAAGTATTCAAAGTCTAACGCGATTTCTAAAACGAAAAACAGCGATATGTGGTCTGATTACTTCACAATTGTTTTACTTTAACAAGACTTTTTTCTGTTGTGAACTCATGAAAACAAAAATGAGTAACCCCACCTTTAATTCAAGTATGAAAATCAATGAAATATATTTGCTTTCAACGCATCACAATGATTTTTTTTATTTTTCATTATTTCTCCGCATTTTCTTCTTCATGATCAGTGACTTACCGAGAGTTGATGCTTCTCTATCGGGTCGCCTGCATTCTGCCCACCGCCGCGTAATGTCCTCGCCGACTCACCATCCAAACAATGCCCCTGTTCCCCACCTGAGATTAAAAACACAGAGATCAGACAAAGTTAGACGGCCGTGCGTGAAACAATGGAAAGAAAATGTGTGCAGACAAGCATGAGGCTCACAATTACTCTGTCAATAATAACATCACAGTCGACTAGAGCGGTTTACCTGCCGGGCCTGATCCCCCGTGAGAGGCGAGGGGGATAGAGGGATCAAATGTGTTTCTATAATAAGACGGGTTAAGGAACAATAGTTAGATGATAAAAAAGTAAACGGATATATAGTGAGAATGCAGGTGATAAATACACCATACAAATGTGATTCAGAGGCCAAAAAGCAGGTATTATGAGGCTTACAGATAATGCATTAAAGTGATATATTTTGTAGTGTACCTGTTTTGATTACAACAACAAAAATACTATACTATTACTTCAAAGCTATGGTACCTCCACCATGTGCCAGATCAGGAGTTTATCCTCTGTGCACCGCAAGAAGTGATTAAAAATGTGTAGTAAGTAAAAAATTACTAAAATTTGGCAAATAATTTGGGCACATTTTGACTGCCTTAAAACAAGATTTGCAAATGGGACAAGCAAAAATAATTTTTTTGTCTCCCTTGGAATTAGAAAATATTGACAAAAAAAGAGTACATGGCTTGTCCCAATGGCAAATCTTGTTTTCAGAGTCTACTCAGATGAAGATAAAAAACACTTGATTTAAGCATTTTTTACCCCATATTTTATCACTTTTTGCAGTGTGGTATTCATTCCATTGCCCTGTATTTTGTATTTTTTTTTTATCCAGGTTTTCCTATTTTGTTTTTATTATTTTTACTTTTTGCCACAAGTTTTGTTGGTCCAGACTCGGCCCTTTACTGCCAGTTTTCGCCTCAGCCTCCAGCTTCCGGCCCAGTCCAGTTTTTCTCCTTGAATATTTGTTGTTACTAAAACCATGATTTCTTTCTTTTTTTCTGGTCATTTTGATTCACCGGTCATTGTTACGAACTTAAAACCTAAAAGCAGATTCTCCAGCAAGAAAGTTGCATAGTACACCTTTAAATTTGTATTCTACATGTGTTACTTACCGTTGAGCTGAACTGTTTTACATACTGTACGTGCATATATCTCTAACACTGCTATAGATCAAGCTCATGGACTCCACTTTAACCATATAGACTCATCTTCCGTTAACTAATTCCCGGATGCAACGCACACATTAGCATAATATTTGCCCTTCTAAGTCAGTCATAAATCAGACGTCAGTTTTTTTGCATTGCAGCGGTGTGTTTGGATGATAAGTCCGCAGTACGCTAGCCTTACAGATTGTCCCTATGTCGTGGCGTGCTGAGTTGAATTCATATAGGCACCAGACTGGAATGGTTGTGTGGTGTTTTTGGCATGCACAGCCATCAGCAGCAGGTCCACACAGAGCAGAGTACCATGCCAGACAGCCATGTTGTTATGTGACCTCGTACCGCGCCATGTCCCTTTGAGGCATACCAAATATCACGCCAGTCGGGAGGTCTATGACACATGCACGCGCAACGCAAGAATATAAATGAATGCCTTGAGCATGAGGAACAGCAGGTTGGCGTTTTGTTGTTCCAAACTATAGTCAGGTATGTGTCAAAAGCAAAGTGAGATTATAGAGGGTGCAGTTTTGAACCAGTTTGAACCTATATCAAACCAAGCCTATGTTTTGGGTTGGGGTTATTCTTTGCCAAATGTAAATTAGAAAAAAAAAAGTCAGAGAAGACAATTAGCCCGTGTCTTCCCCGGCCCGGACTCGTGAGCTGCACCTCCCACCCCACCAAGAAGCAACCTCTGGCATGTACCGGCGCACAGCCTTAGTCCCCATACAGCCTCAGTCCTGGATCTAGCCTGCAGTCCTGGATCTACAGCCGGAGTCCTGGATCTACAGCCTGAGTCCTGGATCTAGCCTGAGTCCTGGATTTATAGCCTGAGTCCTGGATCTAGCTCCTGTCCGTCTGTCAGAGCGGGTCCCTCCCTCGATCTGGGCCTCCCTGAGATATCTTACTTTTTTCCCACTGGGTTTTTTTCAAGCCCTTCCACGTTGTTGGTATGGATTTTCCCCCTTATGTGATGTCCATGTCCCCCCTCCATTGGGGATGGCTTGCTCCTGGCTGACACCCCCAACCAATCCAGTGGAACCTGAGAGTGACCTCACAGCCGGTGTATAGAGAGCTGGGACGGATTATGTTTGAGGGCTCTTGGTCGGTACAAACTCTCTGCAGCAGCCTAATACTGAGGTCCAGAGCCTCCAGAGTTCTCTCTCTCTCTCCAGTCATCTCTCCTTGTGGTGTGATATTTTCTGTTATGTCTGAATGTACAGTATATGTGTTATAATTCAGTGTCATTAAATGTCCTCTTTTATATCTATTGGTTTGGGCCCAGTATGTACAGCAACGATTACATTTTCATGATAACACCCGTCGATGCAGGATGGTCTAAGGACAGCGATAATCCAGAACATTTATGGAATTATTTTTTGTTTACACTTTTAGACATTGGTCGTCCTGCCCCCTATAGACCAATGGCTCCTGTGTGTTCAAACTGTTATACTACATATTTTACATTAAACTCAAAATCTATAAACACTCGACTGATGTAAATGGGGACAATATACAAAACACTACAATCTTTCACACAACAACACAGTGTTTAGCCAATGTTGTGCACTGCAAAAGATGACAGAATTAAAGACAAAAAAATGCTCAAATTTGGCTAAATGTATCTAAATATGAGCACATTTTGACTGCCTTAAAACAAGATTTGCCAGTGGAACAAGAAAAATTGTCTTGTTTTAAAAAGATACAAGATATTTTTCTCTTGGAATGAGAAAATAAAGCAATAGTTCTTGAATCAAGTCAAAATTGCTTGTCTCATTGGCAAATCTAATTTTAAGACAGTCAGAATGAACTTAAGTCAAGTTAGAAAAAAACTCGATTCTAGCAATTATGATCTCATATTTGATCATTTTTTGCAGTGTGTTCACACATCTGATGTCACAAGTCATGTTGGATAATGGAACACTGCAAATATTTGTAAAACACTAGCACCAATCCATAGCAGTAATAAACTCAAATGTGTCATGAGGTGAAATTAGGACCCAAAATGCAAGAATGCAAAATACTAATGATTTAAGATTAACATTAACATTAAGAGATCCTTTATTCGTCCCACAGTGGTGAAATTTTAGTGTTGCATCACCAGTTATAGAACAATAGGAAAGAGGAGCAGACTGCACAAGTAAAGTGAACAATAGCTATACTAATTAAAATAAAACGAAATCACAAATTCTAGCATTTAATGATAATACGTACAAGTTCAGGAAAAAACAAACAAACCCCAAAATCAAAACTAAACTACAGGTTTAGTTTCGAGCCACAGGAACCAGGACCACTGACAGACACTGACAACGGACCAGCAACAAGGGGAGAGGTCATTATTCATTCACTCCATACACGGTGGTGATGAACTACTACTGTAGCCACAGCTGCCCTGGGGCACACTGACAGAAGCGAAGCAACCAGTATGTGCCATTAGCCCCTCCCACCTCCACCAACCATTCACACACACACCAGACTCATTCTAGGCAATGGGGGTGAAGTGTCTTGCCTAAGGACACAACAGCAGTTTGGCACTTTACAGCCGCAGCCGCCCCACTGTGGCACCTAGTGTTCCCAGAGGTTAAGTGTCTTGCCAAGGACACAATAGCAGTAGACAGTGGGAGTCGATGGTGAAAGTCTTGAGGTGGGCTCCAACTCACAACCTTCTGGCTCAAAGGCCCTACAGACGACAGTAGTAGTAGTGGAAGAGACTGGAAGACTATCCTCACCAATGCTCATTCATTTATCTCCCTCTTTTGTTGTGGCTGAGTTTGCAGCGATAATCCGGATTTGTATGTACTCCTCATTTAGAGTAAGCACTTTTGTAAGAATTATAAATGGTTTTTTTTTCACACTTTTCTAAACCGGGTCAGTTCCTCTCTGGCTGTGAGTAATATTCTTTGACAAGTGCGGAGATAACATGTACAAATGCTGCCTACAGAGTCATGTTTCCGTGCGTGGAAACTGAGCATATGTAACTTTAATGGATTAACGGTTTGACGATGAAACTTGATGAAGGCTCCTCTCTACAGACCACACATCCGAGACAGTTGCTGCAGTTATTTTCAGCACTCAAGTTGGCCCATATGTCGGTCTCTCTAATTGTAAATACATATGAATAAAATATCAAAATATGCTTTACTGTATACTGCAGGGTTTGTTTGTATCTAATAGGGATCCCCATTAGCTACTGATACATACATTGCAAAAGGTAAAGGAAAAAACGTCTAAAATTGCTAAAATTGGAGCATATTTTGATTGCCTTAAAACAAAATTTGTCACTGGGACAAGCATAATCACAAAAGAAATGTGACTCTTGGAATGAGTACTCAAATTAAGATAAAAAACACTTGATTCAAGCAATTATTACCTCATATTTAATGTTTTGTTGCAGTGAAATGGTACAGTACATGCATTGTTGAAAAGTTCCAAATGGTTAGTGTGTACACGTTTACTCACAGACACAATCCTACCTACATTTAAGTCATCTTGGTTTGGATTTTGTTCATTTATTTTAGAATACAATAAATGACGTTGGATGTTTTCATATGTTTTGTAAAGTATGTTATGGGAGCACATATTTAACCTCTTACTGTCCATGTCTCTACATAAGTCATAATTATTTCATGTAGCCCCAGTATAACCTTTGCTTACTCCTTGAGGTTCACGTACCACTGGTTTACGGAGAGAAAACCGTTCACTTGGACAGAGGAGGAGGAGGAGGAGGAAGAGGAGGAGGAGGAGGAGGAGGAGGAGGGAGAGGAGGATGAGGATGAGGAGGAAGAGGAGGAGGAGGAGGTGGGAGAGGAGGGAGAGGAGGAGGAGGAGGAGGAGGGAGAGGAGGGAGAGGAGGGAGAGGAGGAGGAGGAGGAGGAGAGGAGGGAGAGGAGGAGAGGAGGAGGAGGAGGAGGAGGAGGAGGAGGAGAGGGAGAGGAGGAAGGGAGGAGGAGGAGGAGGTGGGAGAGGAGGGAGAGGAGGAGGAGGAGGAGGAGGGAGAGGAGGGAGAGGAGGAGAGAGGAGGAGGAGGAGGAGGAGAGGAGGGAGAGGAGGAGGAGGAGGAGGAGGGAGAGGAGGGAGAGGAGGGAGAGGAGGGAGAGGAGGAAGAGGAGGAGGAGGAGGAGGGAGAGGAGGGAGAGGAGGATGAGGATTGAGGAGGAAGAGAGGAGGAGGAGGAGGGAGAGGAGGGAGAGGAGGAGGAGGAGGGAGAGGAGGAAGAGGAGGAGGAGGAGGAGGGAGAGGAGGAGGGTGTGTTGGTTTGTGGTGCTTCTGCTTCTGCTACTTTTTAATATATATTATTATTACCCTGGAGTTATCGAGTGAGAAATAAAAAAACACTCGTCTACTGCTACTACTACTACTGCTACTACTGCTAGTACTACTGCTACTACTGCTAGAACTACTACTACTACTACCACTACCACTGCTACTACTACTACTACTACCACTGCTACTACTACTACCACTGCTGCTGCTACTACTACTACTACTACTACTACTACTACTACCACTGCTGCTACTACTACTACTGCTACTACTACTACTACTACTACTGCTGCTACTACTACTACCACTACTACTACCACTACCACTGCTACTACTACTGCTACGCTACTACTACTACTACTACTACTACTACTGCTGCTACTACCACTGCTACAACTACTACTACTACCACTACCACAATTATTACTACTACTACTACCACTCCTGCTACCACTACTAACACTGCTACTGCTATTACTACTACTGCTACTACTACTACTACTACTACTACTACTACTACCGCCACTGCTTCTACTACTACCACAGTGAAACAAACCACTACCATACAAACTTCCACAACTGCCACCATCCATTCACAGACGTCTGCTTCAAATGCCCGACATGCTTATTATTATTATTATTATTATTATTATATCCAAATCAATGCTTTCTTACCCCGCTCAAAAAAACTTCTTTAGAATTACTTTTAAGCTTTGCAACAACAAACAGGCTGCACTCTCCCACCTTCGATAGTGCTTTCAAACCAATGTCCCCGACAGCCGCTGCCGCATTCACCGCCTCAGTCCTAAAATAGCTTTGGCGATAGCTTCTTGTAGGTGCCTGAGATAAGTTCATTGTGCAGATATAAAAGGATGTTGTGCTTGTTCTGTGGCCTCTGCAGCACGAACGCCCCAATTACAGCCGGCCCGTCTGCCTCTAGGGGACAGCGGAGAGACACACATTGATCCAAAAGAGCAGGAAGGGGCGGAAGGGGATGTGGGGGGCAACTTCACTCTGGAACAGCAGACTATAGTGGGAGTCCTGCCGCTACACACAACTTTGGAGCACAAAAAAAAAAAGGTGTATGTATTCATTGGTAGATTATAATTAGGGATGAGCCGATACCGGTTCTGGGGTTGAGTATGGCTGGCAATCTACAGGGACTTTGTTGTAAACGTTTAAGCTTTGTCAATTCAATTCATTTCAATCTATTCTTGTATAGCCCTAAATCACATTAGTAGTTATCTCGGAGGACTTTACTAAACCGTTGAATTCGCTAACACAGATCAGGGAATCAAAACAGCTCAAACACAAGAAATGCAATGGCGAAAAAAAGTAAAAACACATAGAAGTTAGAACCATTAGTCCATATGTAGCAGATGACCATTGTGCATACATTTAAAGCTGTTCTCTATGTAGTAAATTGCAGACATGATATTGAAATTGTGAGATTTGAGGGGGTTTGGTGTGCTATATCATAATCATTTAATTAAATTAGTTGGTTTTTCTATACCAATTAATTGTAAGATATCCATGTTATTCCCTCAACATATTTAAAGGGCATACTTCTGTCTTTCTCTGAAGCGTCCGTGTCAAAGTAATAATAACATTGCTGTCTTACAACTGTATACAAAATAACTAAATATATATATTGTATTATACTAGACAAAATTCCTCTTGATTTGGGAATAAGACAGATTCTGGCGGGCGTCATTCCAATTCAAGTGAGAAAATGCACATTACATATTTGAGGTAGTTTAAAAAGATTAGGAATCACACAAAAAAGAGGTGCCAATGTGAAGGGGAACTAAAAAAATGGAGGATCAACATAATATTTTGTGGGAAGACGCTACTGCCATTTTAGCCTTCATCAGATCCTTTTATCGTTCTTTCAACCACGATGTACGAAATGGCATAAAAATATATACCTTCACATGAGACATATTTGAAGTAATACTTACATTGTGTTGTGGAATTTCAACAAAGACATATCTACTCTAGATATAACACAAATCATGTCAGTAACTGTGTGTCGCTTTGAGGCTTCTCTATACGCTTCCTTACACAAGTCTAATATACTGGATGTAATAATCTAGCAAACAAAGATACCCTTTCTGTGGAAAAGTAAATACAGGGTAAAATTGCCTCGGATTTTACCCTGTGTTTACTTTTCCACAGAAAGGGTATCTTGTTTGCTATGCTATTTCTCATCCTGAAGAGCACCTGTTTTACTTATGTTTTTAACATTTGGACCCTGTAGCACTCACTCCTCCTGTTTTTGATATGTAATAATCTGCTTTGACTTGAACACATTGTTCTTTGACCCGGATGAGGTCAAAGACATGTTGCAGCAGGTCTCACATCCATCAGCTGACCTGCTGCCAACAGACCATATGTGCTGTATCTGAATCCAGAGTTGAGAATTAGTTCATAACTTATACTTATTTGGTGTTAATTCAGATTGCTTTACTAAAAGATTTTTAAAACAGTGTCCTTGTTCAAGTCAGACCAAATAAGATAGATGAAAACTTGCCTTTTTTCTTATTTATTTGTTTCCATCTAATGCTCCCAATCAGTCTTATGAGGCAATACCCATATAACACATACAAATCTCCCACCGCACGAGCAATGATCCGATCTGTCCTCTTGGGGGCAACGTTGGCCTGCTTTACGTGCGCCGTTATTCCACACGCAGCAAACCCGACCTCCCATAACATCATCCTGCAAACTGCATCGTGCCAATACGAGCTCCATTCAAAAGACATTCTTCATTTCTGATTGGACAACTGCAAGCCCATTAAATACAGTGGATGTGTCTGAGTTTAAAACAAACGATAAATCAAACCTTAACAAGATTAAATATTCAATACATCTCCTTTGAGTAAGTCCACTGTGACGGCCTTCATGTGGGTCTTTGCAATAACAGGATTTCATTTCGCCGGGCACATTTGATTGGTTGACCTGGGATCGTGCTCGTGCAGTGTGAGTGCGTGTGCTGACATTTCAGAGCCGGTGATATGATTTTGCCTCCACAACAATCAACATAACATTATGCCAATGCAGGCTGTCCACACGTCTCCAGATCCGGCAATTTTACACAGGTTCAATGTGCCGTCAACATCCACTACTGCAGCCACTCCACCTGTGCCGTGCCATGCTAGTACTTCTACTGCTAACTCACTATACTAGCCCTACTCTACTAGTAAGACTACTATGACTGGTACTATTACAACAACTGCTACTACCACCTTCCTATTACAGCCTTACTCAAGTACTACTGCTACTACTACTATTACTATGACCACTACTACTATGACTACTACTACTACTACTACTACTACGACCACTATCCCTACTACTACTACTACTACTACTATGTGCCGTGCCATGCTAGTACTTCTACTGCTAACTCACTATACTAGCTCTACTCTACTAGTAAGACTACTATGACTGGTACTATTACAACAACTGCTACTACCACCTTCCTATTACAGCCTTACTCAAGTACTACTGCTACTACTACTATTACTATGACCACTACTACTATGACTACTACTACTACTACAACTACTACGACCACTATCCCTACTACTACTACTACTACTACTATGTGCCGTGCCATGCTAGTACTTCTACTGCTAACCCACTATACTAGCCCTACTCTACTAGTAAGACTACTATGACTGGTACTATTACAACAACTGCTACTACCACCTTCCTATTACAGCCTTACTCAAGTACTACTGCTACTACTACTATTACTATGACCACTACTACTATGACTACTACTACTACTACAACTACTACGACCAGTATCCCTACTACTACTACTACTACTACTACTATCACTAGTACTATGACCACTATGACAAAACTACTACTATGACTACTACTACTACTACTACTACTACTTCTTCTTCTATCTCAGTAAGTAATTATGTCATCTTTATTGACATAGTGCCTTTCACAGACCAGACCAGACAACTGTTGTGGGCATTTGTCTTCTCCCTCCACAAACAGGAGCGGGATCGTTGTATATTATTTTTAATGGTAGGGAAAACTGGGGCACCTAGAGGAAACCTATGCAGGGAGAACATGCAAACTCCACATAGAAAAGCCTGGAGGTGAAATCAAACCCCTCGCAAAGATAAATGTGTTATAAAAAATGTGCAGTGCCTTTAGGACAAAAGTATTGCCTCCAAAAGAGTTAAGATAATGTCACCCATGAAAGAAAATAACAGCCATGAAACACCTCCATGTGGTGGTGGAAGCGGCCTCCTGCATTCTGAGACACCATCACACATCTACCACTTCACCGGTCTAACAGTTTAAGAGCAATTCTGATTCACTTGGTAGAACATCTGTGTTTATAATTATGTATTTTGTGTGAAACCAGGCCCTGACTGACCTTTTGAAAAATGCTAATGAAGCATTTAGCATTTTACTTTGGACTATAGCAGAGAAAATGGTTCGAACCAAGCGGCTACTCCACCTTCTGACCTGTCCTGCTCCACCCAGAGGCTACTCCACCTCTGCTGCTGTGACCTGTCCTGCTCCACCCAGAGACTACTCCACCTCTGCTGCTGTGACCCGTCCTGCTCCACCCAGAGGCTACTCCACCTCTGCTGCTGTGACCCGTCCTGCTCCACCCAGAGGCTACTCCACCTCTGCTGCTCTGATCCGTCCTACTCCACCCAGAGGCTACTCCACCTCTGCTGCTGTGACCTGTCCTGCTCCACCCAGAGGCTACTCCACCTCTGCTGCTGTGACCCGTCCTGCTCCACCCAGAGGCTACTCCACCTCTGCTGCTCTGATCCGTCCTACTCCACCCAGAGGCTACTCCACCTCTGCTGCTGTGACCCGTCCTGCTCCACCCAGAGGCTACTCCACCTCTGCTGCTCTGATCCGTCCTACTCCACCCAGAGGCTACTCCACCTCTGCTGCTGTGACCTGTCCTGCTCCACCCAGAGGCTTCTCCACCTCTGCTGCTGTGACCCGTCCTGCTCCACCCAGAGGCTACTCCACCTCTGCTGCTGTGACCTGTCCTGCTCCACCTA